ACACCGCTCATTACACTAGCCCAGTCTGAAAAGGTGCCATTTACAGATACCCTCTGGACCCGTTCCCGTAGCCAGTTCTCTATCCACGTACACACCACCTCATCTATGCCCATAGCCCTCAGCTTGTGTAGCAAGCGTTTGTGTGGTACCGTATCAAAAGCCTTTGAGAAATCCAGATATACCACATCTACCGGCTTACCTCCGTCCATATCTCTACTTACCCCCTCATAAAAAGTTAGCAAGTTAGTTAGGCAGGAACGGTCTTTCCTGAACCCGTGCTGATTGTCATTAACTATCCCGTTTTCCTGAACAAATTCTACCAGATAATCCTTTATTATGCCCTCTAGCATTTTACAAACTACCGATGTTAGACTGACCGGCCTATAGTTCCCAGGTTGGCACCTAGACCCCCTTTTTGAATATTGGGACTACCGTAGCCCTCCGCCAATCACTGGGGATCCTACCAGTCATTAAAAATGAATATTGATCGTGCATCTAGGTATACCGATCTAGTCCTAACAACATGTAATCATATCACATACGATTGCATAGAGTGCGGATAGACTGCCGCTTTCAAATGCGGCCGCTATCACCCAAGAATAAACTTGAACAGGTAATAGTGGTCGATACTTAATGACACTGTCAGTGTGAATATAGCCTCAGTGTTGATATTTACTTCACATTTCAGGGGACAGCTGCAGAAGAGTTTTAGATCACAGATTATACATTAGGGAGTGGCTTGTAAGCTGAACGGTAGAAGTATTTGACTGTGGTTTGTGTGGACATTGGCGAAGGAAGAGCCTCATGACATTTATAACATGGTGCTATCTGTACCTCTTTGCTTCCTCCAAATGACAGAGGTATTCATAGGCTACATTTTGACGCCTCCTCTCATCCATCTCCTCTGCTGTAAGCCTTTCATCGTCCAGCACAGCTGTAGAAACAAGATTGCAGACATTATACAACCAATCATGACAGAATAAAAAACCTAAATGATTCAATCCAGAATACCCACACAGACGTGTACTCTCGGGGGGCTCATGTCTATAAAGCTGGGTAATTCAAGTAGATCCCATCGCACTCCTGACCGGTATAACCCCCAAAAAACACTTTGCTTGCCTGAAGAAGGGACCTGTATGGTTCCAAAAGACCTGTATGGTTCCAAAATGTTGCTATACAATGTGACAATTCGCATGTCAATAAAGAACATTGACTGAACATTGAACATTGACTGAAATTCCTATTGGAGCGCGAGTTTCTACCAAGTTATAAAGCTGTGCACATTCTACACCAGTAGAATGTGGTTTGAAAAAATTTATTTTGGGAACATTCTATTTGATTGTCTAATACTTAATGGGGTCAAAACAATGATCGTTGTTGACCACGGTGACGAGGGAGCAGTGAATGTGGCTTTCCTTCAGGAAACTCCATTCATTTACAAAAACCGAATGTTAAAACTAAACGAGATTTCAAATGACATTCATCTAGTGTTTGGTGGCATTATCCAATGCTCTGATGAGATTTGCGCATGATACTGCGCAGATTGCCGTGTGGTCTCGTAGTCGCCCACCACTGCCATTCTTTTTGTAATGGCACCCCAAATCAGGGGTGGGGGGGGGAGGGAATCGCGCGGTTTCCCGCCATCATTCCACACGTGCAACCGAACACGGCTAATCCAGCCGCGCGTTGTGGGTCGCAGAAAAATTATAAAAAAAAAAAAAAAAGGTACATGTACCTTTTTTCTGCGCTTGCCACATGGATGTAACCCCATTGAAATCAATGGAGCAGTGTGGCAATCACTGTGTACAACTGTGCATGATCGCGCATCCCGGATCGCTCAGGTCTGCAGCACTGGCCCTCATTTTTGTCCCCAGACTAGAACCAGTACTTAACCCTTGCAGTACAAAGGTAGCTCCACTGTAAGGGGCTACTTCTTTAAGTGTGTATGGCTAGCCTTAGCCTCGTAAAATGCAGATCAGTGCGTTTACTGCAGTCCTACCTACACACACACACACACACCGGGAAGTTACACTGCGGTAATCATGAGACAAGAGGCTGCATTCCTCCCCTGCGTCAGCAGAACTCTGAATGGGTCTAAAAGCTTAGTCACACTTCATCCTAAATCCACTTTCTCTGCATTATCATTTGATTAGGACCAGTGCAGTCAGTGATAAGAACTGGCCGGTCAGAGTCCATGATGGAGCAGGTGCATCCTAAGAACAGTTGGCTGGTAGAATGTTTCACCAAACAGTCATCTATTTACATACAGACAGACATTTTGGCAGAGAAGAGGGAACTCGGAATCCTCTAAATAAAAATTCATATTCAGGGTAAGAAAAAAAAAAAAACAGCTCATACATCGCACTTCCTTTCTGTATCTACAACAAAACTATGTTTACTTCCACGACAAGAACTGTGCAAAGATTCTTCACTACAAACAAGTAGCACACACCTACTTAGAATACAATATTGATAATAAAACAGATGTCCGGACACAGATTAACAAAACTAGACGACGTGATTGAGAGTCAATCTGGATTGCAGCTATAAAAATACACCTTTACCTGGACACCAAGCAAATATAAAAAGGCACATATTGATATAGTTCTTTATTATTTATGACATCCTTACACATATTTGTTTAATGCAAGCACTGCAAATGCCTGAAATGAACTTATTAGCCTCCTGCAGTCCCTTTACAGCAGAACTCAGATTGGGAGAGGGAAAGGCAGCACAAGTAGCCAACCCATTGCTGTGCTGACAGAATATGCTGACAGTAGGAGAAAGCAGAGTGGCAAAGATGAGCTCATTAGTGAGATGCTTCTACTTTACTGTCCAGTCACATCACATACTGGGATGGGGAAATATGTAGGTAATGGAGAGACTGCTTTCTTGCCTTTTCGGGGCCAAGTGACAGTGTTTGTGTAAAGTGGATGCCTCAAACTACCTTTCCAATGCTTCCCCAACTGTCCCTTCATCATAGCTGACACCAGAACCCCTAGGGTAGGCTGAGGTCAGATGCTAAGGAGGGCAGTGACATCACTTCTTCAGTCATGCGACAGTACTGGAACCAATTAATTTTTTGCTAGACCTAAGCACAGTCACATGGCGGAGGGGTCATGCTCCCATTGGAAAGAAGTGGTACATGCATGAATCCATAACCAGCCTTTATAGCAGGGATGCACTGGGGTCCCAGCGTGCATTTTTGGTTGCTGGGCCCCCAGTGCGTCCCTGCACCTTATTAGGAGGAGTAGGCTACCTCCAGGTACACCTGCATGCAATCTATCGACTTCATTAATATGCTCACACTTGGAGACTCAGATACATAGAGTTAGGACCACACTTTGCAGAGGTGCCTTGGCGCGGCAGTGTGGCTTCTACATATTTTTGGCCAAAAGTTTGTGCAACTAAAACCTCTGATTTTAATGCATACTGTTGACAGGGCTACTTGTTTGGTTGCAGGCTGGCTGGCAGGTTGGGGCTGGGGAATTTTTGTGTTTTGTATAGTCATGCTCCCAATGCCCTAATGTATCTGCCTGCATTAGAGGAAAAAAGATCACACGCAGACAGGGCTATGTTGTGTTGCCGAGATGTGCAACTCTTAGGACTGGATGGACAAAAATAAATCATTTGTGGGCTCCTTTAAATGCAATAAATCTGTGCATTTGGCTGTTTGTCTGAAGTTCAGCTTTACATTTAGTATGTAGGTGGTAAAAGACAAATCAATGTATTTACAAAGAAAATTGAAAAAACAATTATGCATTGCATGTTTAAATATTTCCAGTACAACAATTTGAAATCTTATTAGCTGTGGCCCACTCAGACTCTATTGCATTGCGCATGCTGTCAAACACTGTGTAATTGCTTACAGGAGTGTTTGGGGCACCACTGAAATGAATGGCAGTGCAAAGCACCTCCTGCAGCAGAATTTGTCAGTCCGAAACCGAAAACTAGTTTTCCCACCTTGTATAATTTTTTTTAGTAATTGTATTGTTAAAATAGCTTCAGCCGAGGAATGACAGCTGCCAGTGGCAAGACTCAGCAGATGGCAGTTGAATGTAAATACAGCAAGTAGTGGGCGGGTGCAATAACCGGCCTGCTATTGGCCATTTCAAATTGCAATAGCAGGCTGGTTATTGCACCCGCCCACTACTTGCTGTGCCCTCCTCCCAGGAGAGAGCTAGGGGAT